AGGGGGGTGGAAGGGGAAAAGAGAAGAATGGACAGGGGGATGGAGGGGGAAAAGAGAAGAATGATAGGGGGATGGAGGGGAAAAGAGAAGAATGACAGGGGAATGGAGGGGGAAGAGAGGAAAATGGATATAGGAGGTAAGGGTACAGAATAAAAAGAGAAAGAAAGAACAAAAAAACTAAAAACATTTTATTTAAGAAAATATGGACAAAATACAATTATACTACTACTATACAATACAATAACTTTAGAGATAACATTTTTACAATTTATAAAAAGCCTAAGTAAATATCATATAAAAATGAAAGGGGGTATAGGATGAAACCTGAGAATCCTAGGATTTGAACGATACATATATGACGTCATCTATCAATTATGTTCACTGTGTCAAAATTAAACGAAAATTCAAATATTTACAATTTTGTATAAAAGCAGTATTATTAAACAGATCATATTCAGCAAATATGCAAACAATATAAAAACGACTATATCCCACAGGAGCCTGAGAATCTCAGGTTTGCTCCTACTATAATTTTTTAATTATTATTTTGCATTTTAATAGATATAATTGATAATATTATTACATGTAGTCCGTATTACGTCACCAGAAGTTCAGCCAATGGCAGTGCAGTATCGTTGTCACGTAATACAGACGGAAATCACGTGAGCAGTATACTTCACTGCTATTGGCTGAAGTTCTGGTGTCTCTTAGGCTCCCGTGGGATATAATCGTTTTCAGATTGGTTGCGTATTTGCTGAATATGATCTGTTTAAACCTACTACTTCGATACAAAATTGTATTTAATGAATTTTCGAATAATTTGACACAGTTTTAGATCAACTTCTGGTGACTGGAACATCAGATACATGTCTTATAGGTATCGTTCAACTCCTGAGATTCCTATACCCCCTTTTATTCTTCCTTTACAGTCCCTTTAAGTGACCCTACAATCAAAGATTGCAATCCCAGACAAAGCTTTCAAGGATAACGTTGTTAATCGAACATCGCCACATTTGCATGCAGGGTCACTTTTCATTTGAACAAAAGTTTACAAACTCTTTAAACTTAAATAT